TCTTTAAGACTTCCCCGACCCGAATTATGAGGGCTTGTAGAAAATGCTGTACACTTCAGAGCGCGCCCCGCCCATTGTGGGCGGCCTCCGCCCACGTCATGTATGCTGGAAACACCTTAGACATTGCTCCCTTACACCAATTTGTTTTCTGCTCTGTAGGCTTTCTCCCAACCGAGTTATGAAATTTTTCATAAAGCACTGCCCCGCCCACCGGGGGTGGGTCTCCCTAATTCGATGTGACTTACCAATGCACACCTTTACCCACTTTTTGGCCCAGTTTCGAGGTCGTTTTGTCACTGAAATTGAAATCTTGGTCTTCAGTACAGTTCATTTCGACGCACGCCACGCCCACTGTGGGCGGGGCTCCGCTTAGCTGATGTGTGTTTTGTACTTCGTGAGACCTTGCCCACCCATCCCACACTTGACCCGGTCCCTCCAGGCGGATCCCGAGGAGCTAGGGAATTTCGTGACAGACATACAGACGACAGACGAAGCGCTTTATAGTTAGTAGGATAGCCAACGATGTATGTTGGAAGCAGCTTATCCACATAGTTTCTATCAAGTGCACGTCACTTCCGGTGACACGCCCACCCCAACTCACCGATGTCGAGTATACATCACGTTATGCCCTGGGGTTGCCGCACTCGTTACGGTTCACACGCGAAACCTTCGATTTCCCCTATCGCAAACAAATTCCTGATTTTCGAGTTCGAAAATTACACCTATGCCCAACACAAGGCACTACTTATTGCACTAGTTGGTGAGGTGCCAGCTAGCCGTATACTATTCAAGTGAAGTGGCAGCGACGCTTTCAGTCCATCCTCTCGTCGCTGTTGCCGCAGTGACGTCAGCTGCACGTGCTCGCATCCGCGCCGCCGGTGAAGTTTTTCCTTCCCCCAGGTTACGGTGGCCGAAGAGCCCCTTCATAAAAGCTGATGAAGACTTCTTCCTGGGGACGTAAGGCATGCTTCCTCGAACAGGAGAGGGACCCCTCCCTGGTAAGGTATGCTCTCCCCGAAAACTCTCGGGGAAAGGCCACGCCACCGGTTCTCGGGGATATCTCCCGATTGACATGCAATCGGCGAAATATCCCCGTGATTGACATGCAGTCTGGGAGACATCCCCGAGAACCGGTGTATTGCTTTTCCCAGAGTTTTCGGGGAGAGCATACTTTACCAGGGAGGGCTCACTCTCCTATTCGGGGAAGCATACCTTGCGGCCCCTGATCATTCAGTGCACTTGAAAATGCGCTCAATGACCAGTGAATCACCTATGATGAATATCACGAAAAATAAAAAGAAAGAGAAAGCCAAAACTCCTGGTACATGGGCCTACCATTTCGTAACGAATCCAACTAGAGGTGACAGGACTTTCACCATGTTGTGATCAAAAAGTAGCCCGCGTGTGATACGCCGCAACTTGTTTATGAGAGTAGTGGTAATGCTGCGGCGCCGTTTAAGTTCTGGTAATGTTCAAGCGTCTTCAATCGTTCACGGAACCGCCGTCACTCACCTGCGGAAACCTATTACTTTTTAACTGTCGTTTGCCGCAGCTTCTGTAGGATGGATGTTCGCAGGGCATTCTTGTTTGTGCATTTTTATCAATTGGGATTGGTGCAGTGTAACAATTACGCGGAGCAACAACAATACATTAAATGGGATTCTTATTTGCTACAAACCAAAAATATTCTGAAACGCGTGCTTTTCGGTCCGTGAATGCATGTCCTGCTGTGCTTTTGCGTATGATCGAAGTTCATGCTCCGCCTTTCCATTCCATGAAAACACTCGGATCGGGCCCCCATTTATGGAGTTTTATGGTGACCGAGAACCACCGTGCCATGACGTTCAGAGCTAGTGATTGCTTTTATATGGTAGATTAGTTTCTCAAACTATTAATGGTTATGGACTTGGCTAGCAAGGGTAGCTAACATGATCTGCAAGCCCATTCCACAAAGTGGCTCACGGCAGGTTCCCAGGTCAGGGAATTTCAACGCAGTATTAGTGTGTAGATCATGTAATCGGCCAAGGTGCTTCGCAGTGACGCCGCAAGTCCAAGAAGCTCGCTGATAAGCGCGTATTCCGCTCTGGTTCCGTGAAGACCCTTATAGCTCAGCAAGATTCCTATGAAGTCCCCTATTTTGGTTTTTGGGAAGCAGACTTGTCAGAATGTATTGTACTTCTGAATGAAAGTTTTTCTTACTATTTGTTTGTGTTTACATCACATCAGCTCTACGACAGAACGTTTCAATCCGCACAGACGTTCACGATGATGTTCTCCGAAACAAGTTAAAACCAAATCCCAGCTTCATTCAAATGTTGATGTTAGAAACATGTCTGCAAAAAAAGAAAGCTGATGCTCGAGTCGAGAAACTGCTAAGTGATTCAGAGGTTCTATGACGTCGGACAGGGATAGGGACGCGGAGGCCAAAAAGCTTGGCCAAAAGCTTACAACAGTCCTATTCGGCCTCGTGTCAAAGCCTGAATGAAGGCACCGACCGTCACCGATACAGCCGTGGCAACGTTGCGGTGGGGCGACGCCGCGCGACCGCGTCGCGACGGTGGGTCGAATCGCGTTGGTCCGGCGTGTGGTCCGCGCCGACGGCCACCTTGCCGTGGCTTGCGGTTGTCACAGCTGTGTCTTGTTTCGTAGTGATGTAAAAGCTTACGATTTGTTGTTTGCCATTAGGCCAGTATTTGAAGAATTCGAATAAGTCACCACGTAGTCACGACTGTCGCATGTCGGTGTCGGATTTGTTTCATCGGTTTTCAATGAAATTGTATGATATTCACTATCATTTCTTTGTTTTTGACCCGGCTGTTCTATCCGTACGTTGTCTAGACGGCTTCATTTTAAATTGCGTAGGCGTTGGACTATATAAACACCAAAAATCTTACAATGACTCATCTTTCTGCTGGCAAAACGCTCACGTGCCGCATTATCTTCGCTTTCTCATGATCACCATTGGTGTCGTTTAAATTTCTGATATAGTATGTATTGATTGCGATAATAATTTGATGTGAAGCAACGAGTGATTCTGCTCCTCAAAGGGTTTTGAATCTACTCACTATACGGAGATGAGTGTTTCTGCCTACGACCATGATTACATTTCACCACCACACCCGTCCACACAGGCAAATGCGTCCGTGGTTCAGCGTCCAGTACAACCGCAGAGGTAATACAACTCACAATTTCTTTTCTTTTTTGTTACATTGGAATTTCATTGCTACGATTATGTGTATCGCTTTAGCGTTTCAAAAAAAAGGAATATAAGGAATTATAACGAATTATTCCTTGCTTACCCTACACTCGCTCCGCGGAAATCATACCCTGAGCAAAGTTCCCGAAAAGTTTAACCGTTAAACAGAAATCAAGTGCGTAGGCGGTGTGCAAACTGCAAAACCTTATGCTGTTACAATGTTGATTCCTTGGGAAGCAACCGCGATTTCTATTTTGAGTTGCGCACAAGAATGGTATGTAAACATCAGCATGGAAATGTTGCTTCCCTGTGTTCTCTGTGAATCAGAAAAGATGATTTGTACGCGTTTCGATTGTTCCCTCAAATTTCAGGAAAACGCTTGTCTAAAAAGAAGAATCATATACGATTCGATCGAGTTATTTATGGGATGTTTTATCCTGTTCACCCATTTCTCATAAGTAATAATCGAAGTGCAAGTGCGCTTGGTGATGTTATGCTTTTCCATTTCATTATCCGCTCGCCTCTGGTTTGATCCACTGTAGCAGCTTATTGCCATGGAGAAGCAAGGCGTCAGTATATATGAGCAAAGGACAAGTTTTTAAATAGTTTTTAAACGAAACGATGGACCTTCTTTTGGGAATTGAGCGAGTGCATAAAGCTGAAGTCATTGTTCAGACTCTTCTGAGCATGAGCAGGTGAATTGCTGCTCAAAAGAGGGCTCTAAACAGACAGGGCTGACAAGAGATGCTTAAATTTCCGTTCATTTCAAAATCATTCGCGGACTGGTCTTCCGACACAACAAAAATGGGTGCTAACTTAGTTGGGGGGGGGGACCACGCGGCGGCGCGGCAGTCTGCTCACCTGGGCTCTCTCGAGCGAGACAGTGTAAACTCGAACATTCCAGCTTTTCACGCATGTGAAGTGACTGCTCTCACCCTCCACCCTCCTGACTGCCTACAGTC